GGTGTGGCCGAGGGGCCTCTGTCGACGGAGAGGAGTCGGGGCGGCTCGGACGCCCCAAAATCGAAGGTGGCGGCGCCACAGGGTCAGACACACCCTGTCCCGCGGGGCGCTGCCTTTCCGTCCCCTCCTCGCGGTGGGCGCGCTGAAACCAGCAACCAGTGAACAGCTTGAAGAAGTCAAAATGTCCGCCAGGAAGAAGACCCTGGAAGTCCCGCCCTAACCGTAAGTACTGACAACAAAAAGACCTGCGTGTTCGCATTGCTTTCTGGGTAATGTAGTTTTCTCAACCGCCCATTAGAGGGATGGCTTTCCAGCCCAGGAACTTGGGGAACAAGGTGACCTGGCGCTGCCAGGGGCGCTGGGGGAGGAAGAGATGGGAGCAGAGGCCGGGTTCACGGGACAGACTGATAGCCGGAGCAGAGGCCGGGTTCACGGGGACAGACTGACAGGCTACCCGGGGGAAGTGGGGAGGAGAATTCCTGATCTGGGCTCTCTAGGTGAGACTCCACAAAATAAAATGAATGTGTTGGTACCTGAAAGGAACGGATCACATTTCTGCAACTACTAGGCTGTTGGGAACACAATACTTTTTAGAAATGAGGATCGGCAATAATAGAACTAAGTGGTTAATTCTCATTTGTCATCATATAGGAGCTGTGTGTTGAACAAAAGCTCGTCCCAACAGCCATTTATTTCCAGGGGCCACATCAGTGGGGCAACTGTGGATCCAAGAGGCCTAGACTCAGCTCTGACACCCATACAGGCTCTCAGCCCCACCCCTTCCTTGTTAAGGACTCGGGCTCAGCCAAGTCCCAGCCCTGTCAGCAGGTGCACTCCTCCCTCCAGGAGAGCCTGTACCATCAGTCACTCTCCCTCCACGTGTACAACACATGGGGGCAGCTTTAGGTTTATGTTGGGTTCTTCTCTGATTTTGCATGACCTGGTTGGTGCGGCCGACAATACAGTGACCTGCTGATGGCAAAGAGTCACTTGCTTACCTCAGCGGCTTGAGTGGAAACCAGTAAAAGCCCTTCAAACAGACAGGGCCTGCCTGGGCAGTGCTGATGCCCAGGTTGTGGGCTCCATCCCCAGGGGTGGCCTGTGGAAGGCAGCCAATCCATGATTCTCTCTCATTGATGTTTCTATCTCTCCCTCTCCTTCCACCCTGAGTGGCCGGAGTATTATGACCAGCCACATTATTATGACCACCCCATCAGTACTTCATTGACACTTCCAAAAATACTGAATATCGAACACTTCCTAAGCAAATACTGTCAAGGTTTCATTATTATTATTATTTATTATTATTATTAATCCTCACCCAAGGGTATGTCTATTGATTTTAGAGAGGAAAGGAGAGAGAGAGAGAGAGAGAGAGAGAGAGAGAGAGAGAGAGAACACATTC